ACGAGTATACGACTACCGAACATCCAAACCACGATCTCCACCACTAACATGAATCCGGTACGAACTGAGAGATAGAAATTAAGTCTTTTTGGTCTCCTATGTTATTTCGTAATGTCTTTTTACAAATACAAACCCTCCCCACCCAGCATTCAAATCATATAGAATTATTCTACAATGCTTTTATCATTTTCTTATCATACGCTAACGCGTCACACTTTTGGGAAATGAGCAAACTGATTGCGGAATGAAAATCTACCACGGCATCACAAAGGAAGAAAATCCCCCGGAAAAAAATAACCTTCAGATAGTGATTGGAAAGTTATAATGACAAGACATTATCATCGGTACTGTACAAGGGGTAGTGTCATGTGCCGCAATTATTTCAAGGCGAAATAAATGTCTATGTAATTTCTAATTTACAATAATTTTTGGTTACAATAAATGAAATTGTTTAATGAAAGAACATAATAAAATTATGTACAATTCACATTTTTCAGCGATGGAAATACTGCAGCGGTAGAAGCGATATTGTTGTTTCGACCGTGGCAGTAAGAACTAATAATACTACGTCAAATAATAATTTTACCGGCTGTGGGGAGTTATTTTAAAAACATATAAATGACTAATAATTTCTATTAATACACATAGATTGCAAAAACATTTATATAATCATTATCACTGATCCGGTTCCATTCGAGTCTGATAAAACACACAATTTTATAATCGCGATGTGTTCCTAAATATAAAACGTGCTCTCGAATAACCACGACAGACGCAAGAGGTAAACGTAATCAAGAAATAATTAGTAAAATAGTAGCTAATATTCTTTCTTCGGAAAGAATTAAAAATTATTTAAATACTTTATGTCTTAATACAGTTCCGTTCAAAAGGGGAAAGCAACGAGACTACTTTGCTAAAGGCCACATTTTTGGAAAATTTTTAGGGGTCCCTTTAAAAGTCTTGATATATTGTAATTGATGTCGCCGTTATTGAGCTTTTTCTCGACAGAAGACTAAAATCCGATTTGCCCGGAATAAAACTTTATTATACACAACAAAAATTATTTTCGTTGCGTCAGTTGCATAATATTATATGTAATACTCCTAAAACCTTTACTATATTGAACCTCGATTTGCTACAACGGAAGGCAGACGATATTTTTGGTCGAAAACCATGAACATATTATTTCATAATTATTTATCTGGGTACATTGTACCTTTAAGTATATTTGGGAATAGGTACATTACTAATAAGTGCTTGAATTTAAACGAGCTTGGTTGATTAAGGTTTGGTAAAATGCAAGAATTTTGTCTATCATACCGTATTATAATGGTCAAAGGGCCCTCACGTTAATTTGGCCTTGACCACGAAAAACCTTGTCTTATACCCGACTCAGCGCTCGTCATCACGCACCATTTTAAACCAAATTAAAAGTGAAAACGATTCAAAACATTCACATTGCAATAAATGAAAATCGTAAGATGATAAAAATGATTTAGTAACGCATAGGCAGTGTAAGCAAGTGAAAAACATTGCGGGAAAACGAGTCAGCGACTACGCTGTAGTTTGTTTCATAATGCCATGGGTATCTAATAAAATCACGTAGTCCCGTCTATTGGCTCCGATTCGCATCCGTTGGAATTTGATATGTTCGTAATAATATACGATACACCAATGTATATTATTATCGGAAAACCGGATGTCGCAGACCAGCGTCGCGTGTCGTCTCGTCGACGACCGGACAGGCGAAAAAACGGACACACTACGGCGAGAATCGGTTAATAGTATTACGTGAAAATAATAAATTTAAAAGGGCAAAAATGGCGCACGCGCGTCGTATATTATAGTAATATATTGTATATTATATTACAAACACACAAACGACGACGAGCGAGCAGCGGTGCAAAATGTGAACGGAATAATAATAACATTGGCATCGATGCCGGTCGGCGCTGCGGGACAAAACTCGAACGAATGCGTAATAAATGAGTACCGTCGTGGGCGTAGTTTTATCAAAAGGAGCATAGTAGTGTCATTGTCACAGGGCGGTTTTTTATTTTCAAAACGCACGACTGTGTATATAAAACGAAATTTCAATTTTACGGGATATCATTCTTCGATTTTCCGGAGAATGACGGTGGTTTTTTTTTCGTCGTCTTAGTTCCGATTACGATTTTAATTTTCGTCTCGAGTTACGTTACGCACGGGATTTGAATGATTCGTCTGTCGGCCGTCTTGGATCGAACTCGGTTCACTACCAAAACCACAATAAAAGCGCTGGAATGGCCCAGCCGAAACCTTAAAAAATATACGACAAATAATATGTTCAACATTCGCTTTCAGTGGGGTCCTGTGCCTAAATTTAGTTACAATTTTCCAGTGCGCATGAATTGTAAATAAAATATCATCATCGATTGGTGTGTGTGCCGTGGACACAAAACGGACGTGAATAACGCGAACCGTCACACGAAAGGAAAACAGAAATATTCCGACCAAAACAAAAGCAACGGTTCGGCCGGCCGAGATGTGAATGGCGGGTGTGGGGAAGGCGAGGAGGGGGCCAACGACAACATTGACTTTGACTTCACGACGAATAAATAATCAACGACCGAGGTCACGTGTGCCTACTATATAATACTATACAGTATATACGACGCACAGTAATATAATTATTATGTATATATACGAAAACCATAACAATAGTACGCGGAGTAAACTACGCGCACCCGCCAAAACCGACAGAATTATAAGCATTTTTTTTAGGATTTCGGACAGATTGACAAAATATATTTCATGATTGGTTTCTAGTTCAAAACGGATGCTAATACATTCTATTTCGATATTGTTAAATCAACGACAACGTAAATTATACCTAAAAGATATAGGTATATTTATTGTTCCAATTTTTGATTATCATTACTAACATCATAGATATAAGAACTTTTTAATACAAATAATAATTATAATATGTATAATGAATACGATAAATATTCTAATAATGATGAAGATTCATATTTAAGAAAAATGTTATGTTTTCCATCTTGTACCCATGGACTAATTAAAAGAATAAAAATTTATTTAAAAATTTTATTTTCCTATTTTTGGAAATAAAATAAGGTAAAGCACACTTGTAGCATAAGTAACAAAATTAGGTCGATTGATTAATCTAAAGAAGACGGAAATATGAAAATTACGTCAAGGTTAACCAATTAATTTATATTAAAATGAGTGTTTAATGACAAATCGCAATGAGATACGCGTCGGCACAATTTAATATTATTATGACCCACAGTAATAGTGATTTCATATTACGACACTACGACAGAGTTCAGAACGTACTGCATGCTATCATATCGTGCAAATGTGCATCATTAAAGCTAATTATTGTTATGTGTAGTTACGAATATACTTACAGTCTACGAGTGCATGAGGATTATGTGCGGGCTGGCTCATGTGCAGATAGAGACGGCGGAGACGAATCGACGGAAACGCGTTGTGAACGGCAGACAGCCACGGCATGAATGGGAAACAAAATTACAGAAACGAAGTTCGAACCGAAATATAAAATGATAAACAAACTACAACCAAAGAAGACAACAACGATAATAACCACAGGTGGTCGTCGATGGTCTAAATAAAGATTTGTTTTTCCCTTAATCCAGGTTTGACCGGCACCGCCTCCTCCCCATCATGCAAAAGTGAAATGTAGGCATGGTGATTACCGAGCTATTTCTGACGAATACCGAAGAACGAAGGTAGGTAAACCACGGGAAATCCGCATTACAAAAATTAGATGTTATTGTGTAATTATATTATTTGGTGAGTAAATTAAATCAAACTCTTGCCAATCGTACGACGGAAATTACAAAATACGTGTTTATTATAATATGTTATTTATAAATAATAAAATACGTAATAATAATTGAAATTATGAAAAATTAAAATAAAGACGAAAACACCCAGGTCTCGTCGAGTTCCGACAGTAAATATATATTAATATATAAATAATATATTCATCGTTCCATAACAAATTATTGGAATAAACAACAAATAACCTAACCTAACGAAAAACAATCGTCACACGTCGTACCGTTTTACAGCGTTCAATATTTTATTAATGATGAACTCGATATTGTCCGACCGTAAAATGACGTAAAATTGAAAACAAAATTTGAGCTAACGACCTTTGAACCTAATTGAACAGTCATCGTGTCGCAATGAGGGAAAAAATGCATTAAAAACAAACGCGTGGCGGGGCGTCAACCCATATGATAAGTGTTTTGCGTCTAGAAACAAAAGGCGGCGGCTGACGAGATTTCTGAGTGGAAAAACGATTATTTGGCCGGCGGAAATTGCTTGCGCTCGTTGTGCGAAAACATTCAATTAATAATAATTGTTATGGTTTCCAATTACACCCGTTTGCGCGCAGTCATCGACGACGTTATTGCCGCCAATGCGCACGCGCGGTTTTCGATATTTCACAGCGGCAGCCGCTTTTACGTGTATAGAAATGTCGGCACGCTGCCAGTGATTTAAGCGCGTACTAAACACACGTCAAATGACTCGAAAACCAAACATAACGACAGGCATAGGTCTAACCACTGATATTATTGAAAGTGAAGATTACAGGTTAAATGAAACGTTACTAACATGTAGGATGTAGAACTGTTGACCGCAGTATAGGTTTACGACATGGCTTAAAACTAATATTCATGTGTCATATGTGTATGCCATTATGACTACACTTACTACACCTCCTTTTTGGCTTTTCAATGTTAAATGTGAATGTTTTATAAACTTTTACTACAATTAATAATCGAATTATAGTTAAAGATGACTTTGAGTGCTTTTTTTTAAAACCAACCCAGTCTTTTTTCAAAGTATCCCAAATATTGTCCAACCCTACACAAGTGACGAACACGTTTATATTATATTTTGAGCCTGTATACATGGTATTATAGTATTACACGATATTAAAATGTGTGTTTAACACCACTAACCTGTTGCAATTGGCCGGCGGCAGTGGCCGGTCGAGCGGGCTGAGTGAGCTTGTGCAAGTTGAGCGGATAAAGTTGCGACTGTTGCTGTTGCCTGGACAACGAATGGTGTTGATGGTGCTGAGTCACAACGGTTGCTGACGATGATGGTGGTTGTGGCGGCTGCCGGTGGTGATGGTGGTAACCGTTGATAACTGCGGCTGCGGAGGACGACGACGACGATTGTTGCAGGAACGCGGGTGGCGCCCGGCCGTCGAACGCGGCCCAACGGTGGTCCATGCCCGACACGATAATAGCGGCAGAGGCCTGCGAAGACGGCGGCAGTGGTTGCGGCGCCACGGTGAACGGCCTGTGATACGACGAGGCGGACGACGACTGACCACTGCCGCTGCTTCCATTGCTACTGCTGCCGTTGCTGTTGTTGTTGCCGCCACCATCATATGGTTTTATCTGGAACGGCCTGGACTCCAAGTACGACGGCTGCACCGAGGCCGGTCGTTTATGATGGTGCTGATGATGGTCATCCGACGACGCTGACGATCTATGGGGATGGTTGTTATTAAGCTGGTGCTGCGGTTGCTGTTGCTGTTGCTGCTGCTGATGATGATACCGTAAAGGTTCGGGTTTTTGCACAATCACTCGGTTAACGTCGTGCTGGGCCGCCGCCGTGGTCGACGACGATGAAGGTTGCTTGGCCTGAGCTATGGGCACAGCTCTAACACCGCTGCGGGGCTGCTCGAGTTTCGGGTCATACCTGATGGCCAAATGCGAGGACTGTGGGCCCGTCCCGCTAGTCACGGGGACTTCAGACTTTGGCCTCTCCAACGGTTGAAACCTGCTAAAAAAAAAAATAAAAAGTCGTCAAAAACAATACCAAATATAGACGATTTTTAACGAGCGTAAAACCAAACAATACGCGATAGACTCTCTTTATACACTTACTTGGGTGGTGGCGGTGGAGTCTGTATGGGCTTGAACCGCAAGTAATCTCTGTCGATGGCCTGCTGTTGCAGACCGCTGTGCGTCGTCCTATTGTAATAGTGCGAAGAGTGCGGCGAGGGGGGCGGCGTCTCGGGCACCGATGGCTGCTGTTCTTTGGGCGCGGTGAACGGTGACTGGGGCTGCGGCGCGCCGGATGTTGGCTTGGGCACCACCGCGTATGGCGACTGCGGTGGTTTCGGCGGCGAATACTGTTTGCCCGATGCGGAGGTAGGCGGCGATGATCGAGCAGCCGACATCGGCTTGAATTGAGACGGAGATGGTTGCTGTTGTTGTTGTTTAACAGTCAGCGGCGGTGGTGGCTGCAGAGGTTGCATCGTGTACGGCGACTTGTACGGCGACGGCGGTGACGACGACGATGATGCGGAGGGCGGCAGCTGATGGTGGTTCTGCTGCTGCTGCTGCGGCTGTTGTTGTTGGTGGTGGTATTGTAGTTGCGACGGCGGCTGAAAGTGGTGGTGCTGGAAGGCCGCGGGCTTAGGGTCAACAGCGGTGCGCGGGTAGTGGCCCGGTGACGAGTACGGCTGAAAGTTGTACCGTAAGTGTGGGTGGTGGTAGCCCGCGAACCGGTCGGTGGCCGCTGCCGATGACGGTTCCGACGATGATGACGACGACGATGACGACGAGTTCATCGACGACCGGCCACCGCCGTTGTGGTGCAGATGATGCGACGGGGGTAACGGTGGCGGGAAGTGCAGTTGGGCGGCCGCTGCTGCAGCAGCTGCTGCTGCGGTGGAGGCTGCGTCCGTAGGGATCCCTTGGAAGTATTTCCTAGTGTTTTCCAACATGTTGCTAAATCCCGAGTCCATAATATGACTACTTCAGCCTGCAACAGAGACAACTGTCAGTCAATAATGATATATGATACATTATTCTCGAGATAAAAGAAGATTGTAAGTTACAGTACACTAGGTGCATATTGTTTGTATGTAGGGTATCAATTTATACATTAATTGCACTACATAGGATTTAAATTGTAAATGTTTTATACTCTATGCCATCAAAATGAATGATTCCAAAAATGTTTGATATTTTAAAATATTATTCCAACTTTGGTTGCTTTAAAAAAAAAAAATATGTTAAAATCATGTCACTCGTATACTATTGGTAACACGATAACATATTACATTATTTATCTGGATAACACGTGCACCACGTATACGCTCACCACTGTATTATTGATTACTGATTAGTATTGTATGGATTGTTAATTGTTTTTTTGTATACAGTTGCGACATGAATTTATATTAAGTTGTGATTTTAACGATAACTATATTATTTTGCATTGTAAATACACGGAAACTTCACACATTTTGGAATAACTTATTGTCTCATATTATATTTAAATGTTAAAACATGTGTATTATTATTTAAAAAAAAATATTTTACGTGAATAAGCCTGCTCCCTCAAAACTGCAAAAAAAACGCCTAAAGGGATAGTATGCGGATTGTTCTTAAACCATACAAAAGCGGCGCCGAACGTCAGTGATTTCATACGGGGGGGTATACTACACTCGTAACGTATACACCTACCTGCAGACTACTGCGTGCACTGCACGAAACGCGACGTATTTATAGAACATAAAAATACATAATACGTGAGCTGTACAATAGAAACCCGTATCGCGAGCTAGTGTAGATATATATATTTAATATTATATAATATAGTATAGCTACTCTCAGATTACAACCTATACGTCTTGTACTAGTATAAATTATTGTATGCAACAAAAGATAACGGGAGAGGGGAAAAATGTGGCTCTAGGTCAACGCGTCAAACGAACAACAATGGACGAGCGAATCTTTCATGTTCAATTCCAGCGCTCTATAAACTACCAGAGCTTCAAATCAGCACTCGTTTAAACGCTCACGATGAGGTATTTAACCGATATTGTAAGCTTATAATATAGGATTAGTTAATTACCGTTATGTAGCTATTTCTATTACTCCATATGTTACTGTATAAATATATACGATCACACTGCAGCACGAATTTCACAGTTGAGTAAATATGTGATACTCCTGTTTGATCTTCTGTCATATTAAAAAAATACAATTTCGCAACGAGAACTGCGAGAATTTTAGTCGTCACATAAAAAGAGTATAACGCAGCTAATTCACAAAATACAATTTATTAAATGCATTTGTTGTTATGTTTAAGAAATAGGAATTAATAATATTATAATTGAAAAAAGCACATATAATCACGTGTCGGACATTTGAAATGTTACAATAATTGTGTAATTATTTTTCAATAACTAATTATCAGCATACTTATTTAACCAGTCGTTTTATAAAAAAACATTACTATAAATGTATACTTTACAAAATATTCTAGTTTATAGACCAATTTTGTGAAATTTCCAAGTTAATGTGTTATTAATGTAAAAAAGCTATGATAAGTAATTAACGGCTATTAAGTCTGCACAAATATAACGTCTGTGGTCTATATATTTTAAAATATAGTTTGATTTAAGAGACATTTAAATTAGCATCAAAGCGTTTTGACGAGAAAAATATTGACATATTAATATGACAGTATTTAATTATTTTAATATCAATCAGATATTATAACTTATAAGTTAAGTAACTTGTTTAATGTTATTCATTATAGTTGGACAATAGTTACTTATAGTTACAAAAAATATAGCCATATCGAAATAGATTTAATGATATAAAACATTTTAATCAATATTTTACAAAATATATGTGTACCTAATACGGCATACACCTTATATCATATTATAACGATTGAAAGTTTTTGATATAAAAAATCGCGACTAAAATTGTCTAACACAGTAACACTGCAGGATTCTACATTTAAGGCATTTGTAGGGGTGAAATTAAAACAAGAACATTAATGCATCCCACCTTAAATCTATTAACACGAGAAACTGACATTTTTCAGCGAATGACCAAAAATCGATAGTGAAACAAATTTAATATCATTTGAAACAAAAAATAAAAAATAAAACAATTGGAATAGATTTATAAGTAAATGATTAACATTTTATTATTAATTATAATTAATACAAACGAGTCTAAAATTTTTCGAGTATTCGGAGATTGATCTATATAAAATGAATGTGTACAATATTATGACGATTTACTTTTAAAATTATATTTATTGTTAGATTAAACACAACAACAATATTTCATAATTATTAATTATTAATGCGTTTGGAGTAAGTTGGGTTAAATATATTATAATAATAATTTAACCTATTTAATACATATCGATACTGTCCGACTAGCAGCATGGTGTATGACGAAATAACGAGAGATAAAATCTTACATTATACTATTAATTATTATTATAGTACTACATTATATACATATAGTTTATTATTATTATTATTTATAATAATATCAATAAAACGAGAAAAATAAATAGCACTTATAAGAAACGTTTTATGTACAACGTGGTTTTAAGAGGTATGCCGTATGCGTGTAATGTAACGCCACGGCCTTGTAATATTCACTGCCACCGGCGCGAGGACGACTAGAGAGCCGAGACGATGAATTTTTTCTCCCCCGTCGATATAGATCAAACTATTCCGATATTACGGGATTCAGTTGCACTTTGTGCGAACAAACGTCCAACACACACACACACACACACACACACACACACACACACATATATATATATATATAAAACTGAAACTCCGAGTTTATAATATATATAAAAACACTATTTATACGTCTCCGGTTGCAACCCGTCGNCGGGATTCAGTTGCACTTTGTGCGAACAAACGTCAAACACACACACACACACACACACACACACACACACACACACATATATATATATATTGATAAAACTGAAACTCCGAGTTTATAATATATATAAAAACACTATTTATACGTCTCCGGTTGCAACCCGTCGTCGTGTTGAGAAAACCCCGATTTTTCTCTTCGCCTTTTTATCAACATGAAAATCGTATTTCACCGGCAGGTTGAATGGGGAAAACGGTCGTATATTGAACACACACTCGCGCGAGCGCACACGGAGAAAGATTAACGAATGGAATGAGAGTATATATATTATGCTAGGTACGTAGCACAAAAATCGATATCTGTCGAGTTACATAAAGCAGACAATAAAAAACGATATTAAAATAATTTATATTTTGTATACACATATAATCACTTTAACGTTAATAATATCGTAGTTGAATGACTAATAACATTTTACGTATAAGTTCTATGCTAATATAAGACGACAAGACGTAATAACTAATAACATTATACGAAGAAGAGGATACAATGATCTTGCGAAAGACGAGCTTCAAAACCACCGACAAGTATAATATTATTGTAGGTTATAGGTACCTATAATAACATAGAAAACAATTAATGAAAAAAAAAAATCGTTCGACGTGTCTGTCACGACGACAACAACGATTCGGCGCGTTTATGGTAATTCACACGATAGGCAAAACCGTGCTATTTTTTTTAGCTTCTTCCCCCTCCTTCCAAACTATGATATTTTTTTCGTTACAATATTATATTTATACCATTCGAACAATCGGTTATTTACACACTCGCACACATATTACGGCAACACTCGTGCGATTATTACGTTCCTACACGTGGAGAGACAGAGGCAGAGGAACAATGTATAACGGAGCGTCGACGTTGTTTTTTTGCTGCAATTTCGGTACGCTCCGATAGCGTAAAAAAAAAAAATGAAACGTCAATATTTTTTTTCCACCAGTTTGCATATAAATTATCGTTGAGGGAGAGAGAAAAACTTGGAGAGTGGAGAGACCCCGATAACGAGGTTTTTACAATATTTACCGTCGAAAAATGGAATATTGCGAACGACCGCACCACTGCAGTGTGTCTCATTTAGGAATTTAGACATTAGAGGCCATATTATTATGTAGTGTTACTTTATCCTTCTATCCAACCACCGCATTCAACGCCTACATATTTTCAACACATTTTATTGTATCACTATTATTACTAAAATTATTTTATTTAAGTTTAAAATGAAGTTTCAAATGTTTCAATAATAATTTAATCGTTATTTAAATTGTGATTGTTGATGAATAATAAATATCAAAATTTTATTTTTTTTGTAACTGATAATGAAACGGAAATGGGGTTGGTCATAATAGCTATGACACGTTAATGATATTATTAAAGTTTAATTATGTTGATGTTAATCTTAATGATTTGTACGTAGTCCATAGATACACGTACAGAGATAGATTATCAAGTTTATCTGTGTCTACTTTTAATTAATTTCTCATCGACAAACGAACTTTCAGCGATATTGCAATAATTATTAGTTGCTGTAATGTTATGTACTCGTAGAATAATGCACGAAAATATTCTGAAAATGGTTAGAACCTCAGGGGAACGCATATTTGTAAACGATGTAGATGTGTTGGGGAGGTTAGGTTTTCATTAGGTCAGCTATTAAACTAATGCATATATCATAATTTCGATTGAAAGAATATCGATAGTAACTAGTAGTAGGTTTAAAAATTATTAATATAATAAAGAAATATTGTGTTTTTTTTCTTACGACTTGTATTTTTTTATAATCATCAAAAACAGTATAAAACCAGTAAAAAAGGTTAGAACGTCCTTTTTTAAAGAGTCTCCCTACTTCCACCCACCTCCCGAAAAATCGTTTCTCGTACCCGACCAGAAATAAATAAAAATATGTTATGTGTTGTACTTGTGCACCGTCTTAATTATTATGTCGCGCATAGGTCGGTGGCATCACCCATACGCGACTACGCGAGTGCACACGGGCAAATTAAATGGTTATACGTCATAATACGTAATCACTAATAATTGTATTATGAA